CTCCCGGTGCCCTCTGGAGACTGGGGCCCCGCTGCCCACGTGCTGCCTGCATGCAGGGGCTGCCGGGTGTCCCCAGTCCTGCCCCCGTCGGTGGGGGAGTGTGAGGCAGGGGTTCCTGGGGAAGGGGGACGCTACAGGAGGGGCAGAGCCGGGATGCCGACGTGCTGGGTTGCTTGGGGAGTCAGGTCTAGGACCAGTGGGTTGGGGTACTTATTTTGTGTCTGAGGAGCCAGGCCCAGGGCATAGGCGCTGGGGGTTGGATGCATCTGCAGCACCCCCTGGCTTGAAGTGGTTTCCATTGCACACAAGGTCTCCAGTTTGGTTCAACAGCTCTCAGCACTCCTGCTATAAAAATTGTTCCAGCGCCCGCAGGGCTAGGGGGCAGCGTGTTGTGCACGCTGGCGCACTGGGTGCTAGTAAGGCAGTAAACTTACTTGTGCAAAAACACACGTGAGGTGTGGACGCTCCACGTGTTTTTGTGCAAAAACAACTTTAATATTGGGTGTGCTGAAAACCATTGACTCCAACTGAAAACCTGACTTTATGCGATGGAAAGGAAACCACTTCAAGCCAGGTCCAGCACCTATGTGGGGAGGAAGAGCTGGGCCTGCCTGTTGCACAAGTGGATCAATGCATGGTGCTAGCTTATGTGAGGTGAGGACAAAATTTGGAGTGGAGGGGAGTGGGTAGAACCATTAAAAAACATTATTGGGGCTCCAATCTGTACACTAGCACCAGATACAGTACATACCAGAGCCTCAATAGCTCATCAGGGGGCCACTCTAGCTTTTCTTTCCCTTGGCTCCTGCTGGATGTAGTAGATGAGAGCAGTGAAGATTTACAAGGGCAAGATGTTAAAACAAAGGCTTTACCATTTTTCCCTCCATCTTTTTGCTGTGCTCTTTGGTGTTGCTCCAGACATTTAATCTCCTCTGTGTCTCTAGTCTGATCCTCCTACTAGGCGGTATTTCCCTCCTCCCTTTAGCAAACATAAGGCTATGTCTACACTGCAGGCTTCTTGCGCAAGAAGCTTTTTGCAGAAGAGTGCGTCCGCACTACAAAGAGTATTGCAAAAAGTGCATCACTTTTGCCTAAGAGAGCATCCAGACTGCATGGATGCTCTCTCGAAAGAAAGCTCTGATTGCTATTCACAGAATAGCCACCAAAACACCTATGCTTTTTTTCAATTGGCTCTTTGTGCAAAAAATCCCTATTGCCCTCCCACACACGTTTTTGAGCAAGAATTATTGCGCCAAAAGGAGTTATTCCTCGTAGAAAGAGGAATACCTACACCACAAAAACCCCTCTGTTCTTTTGATTTACTGTAAACTTACTTGTGCAAAAACACACGTGAGGTGTGGACGCTCCACGTGTTTTTGTGCAAAAACAACTTTAATATTGGGTGTGCTGAAAACCATTGACTCCAACTGAAAACCTGACTTTATGCGATGGAAAGGAAACCACTTCAAGCCAGGTCCAGCACCTATGTGGGGAGGAAGAGCTGGGCCTGCCTGTTGCACAAGTGGATCAATGCATGGTGCTAGCTTATGTGAGGTGAGGACAAAATTTGGAGTGGAGGGGAGTGGGTAGAACCATTAAAAAACATTATTGGGGCTCCAATCTGTACACTAGCACCAGATACAGTACATACCAGAGCCTCAATAGCTCATCAGGGGGCCACTCTAGCTTTTCTTTCCCTTGGCTCCTGCTGGATGTAGTAGATGAGAGCAGTGAAGATTTACAAGGGCAAGATGTTAAAACAAAGGCTTTACCATTTTTCCCTCCATCTTTTTGCTGTGCTCTTTGGTGTTGCTCCAGACATTTAATCTCCTCTGTGTCTCTAGTCTGATCCTCCTACTAGGCGGTATTTCCCTCCTCCCTTTAGCAAACATAAGGCTATGTCTACACTGCAGGCTTCTTGCGCAAGAAGCTTTTTGCAGAAGAGTGTGTCCGCACTACAAAGAGTATTGCAAAAAGTGCATCACTTTTGCCTAAGAGAGCATCCAGACTGCATGGATGCTCTCTCGAAAGAAAGCTCTGATTGCTATTCACAGAATAGCCACCAAAACACCTATGCTTTTTTTCAATTGGCTCTTTGTGCAAAAAATCCCTATTGCCCTCCCACACACGTTTTTGAGCAAGAATTATTGCGCCAAAAGGAGTTATTCCTCGTAGAAAGAGGAATACCTACACCACAAAAACCCCTCTGTTCTTTTGATTTACTGTAAACTTACTTGTGCAAAAACACACGTGAGGTGTGGATGCTCCACGTGTTTTTGTGCAAAAACGGCTGTTTTTGTGCAAAAACCCTGTAGTGTAGACGTAGCTGTAGCGTGCATCTACACTGCACCAGTAGGTCAAAATAAGATATGCAATTTGAGTTAGGCAAATTGCATATCTTACTTCAAAATAAAATTAGCGCCATATTTTGAAATAAACCACTATTCCACAACATCCCTTCCTCATGGAATGAGGGCTACAGGGACGATGGTATAGTGAGCCTGTTATTTCGAAATTATTTTAAAATAATGGGTGGGTTTAAGAGATGCGTAAGAGCTAATAGCACCGCATTCTAGATATACCCTTACTCTTCCTCATTTACCTTCCTCTACCAGCCATCAAGTGTTCTTCTATTTGACTTTTCTAGGGAACAATATGGCAAATGGTGTGTTATGTATAATCAAGAGGCATTTCTTGCAAGATACCTTTAGATACAAAATGAATTGGATTTAGTGTTAAGCATTTCATAGGGACATCAGCTCATGGGAAAGACATTCCTTATATTTATTAATAAGCATAGAAGATATAATCCTTTAAAGGGGCTCACACACTAGAGTAATAAATGACATTCTTGTCTGTTGATTTCCCATTAAAATGCTTAATTGTAAATCCAGTTTCCTTTCTAACAAAATTTAGCTGATATGGCTTGTCATTGTAAAACAGCTCTTTGTAATAGCATCACAACTATGTGAACTAGGATGGCTGAGTGGTTAAGGTATTAGACAAGTGCTAATTGATATGTGTCTGTGTGGGTTCAAACCCTGCACCTGTGGCTGTGTGGGTTCAAACCCCACTCCTCGTAGCTCTTGTTTAAACTGAAAGGAGGGATTTGGAATTTATTGGGTTTCTTCCATGATTCTGCAACAGGCTACTTCTGTCAGTCACAATCCTTGGACATTAGGAAAAACTTCCTATCAGGATAGTTGAGAATTGGAATAAATTAGCTGGGGAAATTGTACAATCTTCATCATGGGTGGTTTTTAACAGAAGGTTGGACAAACATCTGTCAGGGATGATCTAGATCAGGGGTATTCAACTTTGGAAGCCCCGGGGACCACAATGATACTCACAGCACATGCCAAGGGCTGCAACTTAAGTATGGTTTCATCTACATGCAAATATATGCAAATCGCTTCTTTCAAACAGACAGGCATGAATACAAAGATTAAGGCAAGACTACACAACACACAGGCCCCATTTAAGTCAGTTCTGTTGAGATTAATAAAATGCAATAATTACCCAATTTCCACCCATTTGACAGTGCTTTTAATGAGCCAGGACAGTCCAGGAATTTAACTACTAAAATGCATATCAACAGAAAACTATTATATTGACTACTTTTTCGTTTTGGCTCCCACTGGCGGACTGCGTGTTGAGCCCCACGTAAGTCCAAACTGCACCTCGGGTCGCAAACAAACAGGCCGTGGGCCACATGTGGCCTAAACACCATGTGTTGAGTAGCCCTGATCTAGATGGTGCTTGGTCCTGCTGTGAGTACAGGGGACTGGACTTGATGACTTCTTAAGGTTCCTTCCTGTTTTAGTAGTCTACAAACCGATGATTAATTGCATTTAGTTTACCTGCTTCACCTGTTTTTAAAAATGTATCTGCTGCTGAGCATATGTGAGCAGACAGTTGTTGGTGTCTGACAAAAATATGATAAGACTCCTGTCTAGCCCCAAGAACTTTACTATCCAATGTGTGTAGATAGAATGATGATGAATTGAGTATAGATGGAGGTGGGTGAAAAGAGAGAGAATTGATGTTCTTGGGAAATCAATTTTATTTTTTGCATTCATCTTAAGTTTTCAGTCATTTGTCATCTACATTAATTTCCAGAGTTGTCTTTTTAAAATATTTTAAATCAGTATTGTATTATTGTCAGACTGGAGTGGTAATAGGAAGCATCTGAATACAGATCAGGTGTAGAATGCTATCCAAAAAGAGGAAACCAAAGTTGGTATACCAAAGGATACAATTAAAAAAATGAACACATATGAAAAGGACAAATCACATTTCAGAACAGGAGAGGGATGCAGGGGGGCGGGGGGGGAAGGAAGGAAGGTAAGTGTCTGTGAATTGATGATATTAGAGGTGGGGAGAGTGGGATGTCTGTGAGCTAATGGTATTAGAGGTGATAATTGGGGAAGCTATCTTGGTAATGGGTAAGATAGTTTGAGTATTTGTTCATTCCTTCTCGGAGAGTGTCGAATTTTAACATGAATGACAGTTCAGAGGATTCCCTTTCAAGTGCAGATGTAAAAGGTCTTTGTAGCAGAATGCAAGTGGTTAAGTCATTGAGAAAGTGTCCTTTCTGGTTAAAATGGCAAGAAACTGTTTTTTCTTTGTGATCTTGTCTGATATCTGTTTTGTGGGCATTAATCCTTTGGC